GCGGTCTGCTGGCCGTCGCGGGCAGCGGCATGCTGCTGCTCTCGTCTGCCATCTGGGTCGTGTCGGGCGGAAGCGCGCGCTCGTACCTCCCGCTGCAGTGCAACTCGTACCCGGTGGCGCTCGTCTCCATCAGCTTCTTCTTCTACGCCGCTTGGTGGCTCACACCGGAGAACTGCAGGCGACTGCAGGCGGCGCTGCAGGGCGGGGTTGGGCGGGTGCAGCCCGCGCGCGTGACGTCGATAGGGCATGTCTGACTGCAGCACACACACACAAGCCCGCTTTTATTTTCTGACTTTTTTGATCACGAATTAGCTGTACATTGGCCAAAGTACAGGTTTCGCGACCCGGGCGCGGGCCACCGTCACCGCAAATTTTGATCAGCAAATTTCGAGGGGCGGCCGCAAATTTTGAGGTAGATTTTGATTGTGCAAAAAACGTGTCCGTCTTGGGGCACAGGATAAGGTAAGGTAAGGTAAGGTAAACTTCTCCACACACACGAGGTGGTGGGGCAAGGGGGGGCGACCCTCGCGTCTCCACGTCTAACGACAGGAGCCCCACGGCATTTAAAGTGCAAGGCCCGGTGCGCGTGGGTGAGCGGTGTGTGTGTGTGTGTGTGTGTGTGTGTGTGTGTGTATGTGTGTGTGTGTGTGTGTGTGTGTGTGTGTGTGTGTGTGTGTGTGTGTGTGTGTGTGTGTGTGTGTGTGTGTGTGTGTGTGTGTGTGTGTGTGTGTGTGTGTGTGTGTGTGTGTGTGTGTGTGTCTCACGTCACTGCATCCTCTGCCGGTTCCTCCCGTCGCCTTTTCTTTGTTCGAATGTTTTTCAATCCACCCTTCACGAAGCCCTCCCATGTAGCTAGCGTTCTTTGCGAATGTCTCGAGGTGGCCAGCAGGCGCTGTCTGCTCGCGGCCTGTGCGGGTCGCTCGTCCTCCTCGCGCTTCTTTCGTCCTCCCGTCCCTCCCCTCCACCATGGCCTCCTCGGCACTTCTTTCTCCATCCGCCTCGCCCTGCCTTTTCGTATCGTGCCGTTCGCCCTCCATTCGGTGACCTCCATGGCTGTCCGACTCTGTTTGGGTGGCGCTCTCGATACCGTTGCGTCAACCTCGACGTCGCTGTCGCCCTCCCCGTCCCCGTCGTCGCCCGTGCCTCGGTTCGCGTCATTGATAGCGTTTCCGTTGCCCCCTCGTGTTCCGCCGTCGCCCTCTCTGCTCGGGCCGTTCGCGATTTTGCTCCTCCTGCGTGTCGCCACTCCGTCTCCTCCCCTTCCTTCGTCGTCATCGTCGCTGTCGCGAAAGCCCTCCGGTCCCTCGATTCCCTCGTCTATCCCCTCCGCTGCGTCGTCCCAGTTTATATCCTCATCCTCTGTGCGCGTTGTCGTTCCCTCCCCTTCTCTATCGTTGGAGCATATAGGCGGCGCGAACACCCAGGTGGAGGTGCGCAGGGACATCGCGACTCTCTGCCCGCTCGCTCGACCCTTTTGCCGCGAGAGGGCGCCGGCCGCGTGTAAGAGGTGGCTGGCGCCCTGAGGCGGCATTTGGTGGGGTCAGCGTGCGGGGCTGAGTCTTACTCGTCGCCGCTGGGGCCAGATCCCAGCGCAGAACTCTGCAACGCTGGCATACAAACACAAGAAGACTAACCCTAACCCTAACCCTAACCCTAACCCTAACCCTAACCCTAGGTCAGCGTGCGGGGCTGAGTCTTAGTCGTCGGCGCTGTGGGGCCAGATCCCAGCGCAGAACCCTGCAACGCTGGCATATATAGACACAACAAGACTAACCCTGACCCTAACCCTAACCCTAACCCTAACCCTAGCCCTCTAACCCTAATAACCCTAACCTATAACCCACCCCCCAACTCCACACCGCAAATTTGAAAGATCTTGATGAAAATCAGGCCCGACTGCAAATTTCTTCAAAATTTTCGCAGGCGCTCCGCGCCTGCAGATTTTGAAATAAATTCGACAAAATTGGTACCTGGCCCAAGCTGTACTGACCGACAATCACCACTGTGTGTGAGTTACTGAGTTTCGAACTTCGGCTTTCGCCTCTAAATTCTTTTTCGTCGCGCACGACACTACTCACTATAGGCACGGGACTCGGGACTGGCGCGCACTGGCACTTTTTAGTTGTGAAACCCGGCGAGAAATTCTTTTCGTCGCACGACACTGGGCATCGCAGGAGTCGCTTAGGCGGCTCCCGTGGTGTACCAAAGGACGACATGAGCGCCATAGGTTTCGTGCGCAGGGATCCCTAGTTAAAATGCGGCGGCAAGAGCACAACCGGGTCCAACCAAAGAGAGATTTTCTTTTCTTGTCGGAGAACGGACGTACGTAAAGAATTTTTTCTTGAGTCGTGAGAGAGAGAAAACAGAGAGGTTTTAGCAATACCAAAACATCATTTGGTTGTTTTGAGAGAGAGATTTTAGAGATTTTTGAAAATCAAACAAGAAATCACGACTCACAGTGATTACATTTGGGCTCGGCAGCTTGTTAGCCCTCAGCCGAAGCTTCTTGTTTTGAAAACAGACAAACAAACTAGAGCCCAACCTAGAAATAATTTGTTGAAAACAGCTCCGAGTAGAGGGAGGGGGCGGTCTGCTTCTACGGGAAACCCGGAGCGCGGGGCTATGTTGTGCGAGGCGTGAACCGCGCCATTCGCTCTCACCTGGCAACCCTGTCTGCACGTCTCGCGCGCGCGTGAACAGGGCTCCAGGCCCCAAATGACGTGTGAGTGTTAGAGTTGTTTGGTATTGCTAAAAATCTCTCTCAAAGGCGCGAGACACACCAAGCAACTCAAACAAAAAAACAACATACATCATTTGTCTATCCAGAAAGAGAGAGAGAGAGATTTTGAGAGAGAGATTTAGCAGAAAGAAAGAAAGAAAACAGAGATTTAGCAACACCATCCTAAAACTGACCGGCGAATTTTTTTTTCCCTGCCCGTCGTGAACCACACGCCGTTCCCACATGAACGATGGACTCCCGCAAGCGAAAGCCCCCCGACTGGGGTGGCTTTGAGCGGGAGGCAAGAGCGCAGGCATGCTGGGGCCAGATTCTCGGCGATGCGACCGGCTGTCCGCCTGTAGAGGCGTCGTCCAGAAAGCTCTTCAAGCAGCGCTTCTGTGATTTGTGCCGAAACGGCGGCCTGACGGTTCCCGCGGCTCGCCTTCGCATAGTCGGCAACGGCTCGTCGGCGGTCGCGAACGACAAGTCCGGTGGTGCATGGAACATGAGGCGCGACACGTCGCTCTGGCCCGAGCACCGCGTAATCAACCAAAATGCAGTGCCAAAGATGGTGCTGCTCCGCAGAGGCTCTCTCGAGGAGCTGCCGGGCCTCCTCCCCTACCCGTGTGCGCCGTCCGAGGTGGTGCGACTCCTGGTGGGCGCCCAAACCCTCCGGCCAGCTGCCGTCCCCGCGCTGGCGTCCCCGCCGTCGACGTCACCACGCGGTGATGGCGGTGGCGGTGAGGGCGGGGGAGGAGAGGGAGGAGGAGGAGAGGGGGGAGGAGGAGAGGGGGGAGGGGGCGAAGGCGTCCTCAATATCTCGTCAGGCTCCAGCTCGTCGACCGAGTCGCAGGCCCACAGCCGCGGAGAGACGCCGCCGAGCACAGTGGCCCCCCTCGCGCCCTGGAGCGACTTGTGGGAGGTCACCAGCGGGTCGACGGTGGGTGGCATGTCCTGGACAGGCGCCATCGCATATGCCAGTGCCAGCGCTGGTGGCAGCACCAGCGCCAGCACCAGCAGCAACGGCAGCAACGGCAGCAGCAGCAGCAGTAGCAGCAGCAGCACCGGCAGCAGCACCGGCAGCAGCATCGGCAGCAGCAACACCGGTAGCGGCAGCAACAACAGCGGCAGCGGCAACAACAACAGCGGCAGCAGCAGCGGCAGCAGCAGCAGCGGCACCATCAGCGGCAGCGGCAGCACCATCAGCAGCAGCAGCTGCACCGGCAGCAGCAGCACCGGCAGCAACACCTTCTGTCCAGGGGGAGGAGCAGGAGCGGAGGAGCCAAGCGGGGTCTTGCACGGAGCGGAGGGGTACTTCGAAGACGAAGGCTTTGTTGACGAGCTCTTCACGGTCGAGCAAGTCGAGCAGTTCTTCTCGCCGCCCGCCTCGCCACCTGACCTGCTGCCGCAGCGCGGCGCGCCTCTTCCCTCGAAATTCTGGCACTACGCGCTGCCAGTGCTATGCTACGGCCACGATCTTCCTGGTATGCTCCGCGCGCTGACTACACGGTGGCACGGGGAACCCGAAGGGCCGCTGGCACTAGCCGGGCCGCTGGCGCTTGCAATGCCCATTATGTTCATTTGGGTCTCAATGATTGCCTGTAACCTCCTTGTCTTAGGACCGCTGACAAACAAACCACAGCCGCTGTCCATTCAGCTTGCGGGTATGGCTATGATCGTCTACCAATGCATTGTTGCTCTTTCTCGTTTTCAACTCACCAGTCAATCGGCCACAATCGAGGAGCTGGCCAGTTGGGGAAAACCGGCTCTTGACGCCGTCGTGGGCGTCGCGCTTCAAAGCGCTGCCAGCCTCGGCCAGATCGCACCTTGGACTTGCGTCCGCGCGCGCATTGGTTTGATGGGTGCTACGGGGGTATTCTGCAGCACAGTCCTGTGGTTCTGGACAGATGGCCGCGCCACTGCATATCCACCGGGCCCATCGACGTTTGGAATTTCCCTCTCAGTAGGGTGCTGCGGCCTGAGCCTCGTCCCGCTTACCAGCCCCAGCATGAGGCTTTGGCTTGGCAAGCCGTGGATCAAGCAAACGGCGGCGGCGCCGGCGCTGACCGCTGTTGTAGACCCCTTTACGGGTAGCTCTCTTTCTCGCTCTAGTCTGTAAGGAAAGGAATCACCACGGGGCCCCAAATCGATCCTAAAGCGCAGCTTGCGATCCTAAAGCATTGATGCCGGCGGCCCACCCCTAGAGTACTTTTTCGCGCGCACACACCTCCCGCCTTTCTTGGGGGGGGTATTGCACCGTCGCCGCTGTCGCAGGTGTGCTCTAGTCGTCTCCGTACGGGTACTCTCCGTCTCCTCCGTGGCCCGGCTCGGGCTCCTCCGGGGGCGGCGCCTCCTCGTATTTCACATCAACGTCGTCGAGGAGCAGCAGCCCTGGGACGGGCGGCTTCTTGCCGTTGATAAGCGGCATCACGGGTGGCGCGCTGTACGAGCCGCTCCACGCGTATGCCACTTGCTGGCCAGCCGTCTCGTGCGCAAGCTTGTCGAACGCCTAAGTCAAAAAGACGGGAGACCCGCGGCATTGGCAATGCAAAGCCCGGGTGCACGTGGGTGCTGCGCGTGCGTGCCCCCGCCCGATGTATGTTTTCACGTGGGTGAGCGTTGTGTGTCGAGCACCTTGTACGCGCTCGACGCCTTGACGGGCTGGCGGAAGAGGCCGAGCACGAGCGGCTTGCCTGCGCTCGCCTTGAGCGCGGCGGCCAGGTCGTCGTCCGACTTGATCTGCGAGGGCGGGACAAAGGAGGCGATCTTCTGCAGCGCAGCGACGATCTGATCCGCCTCCCGTCCGCCGCTGTAGTCCTCGGCCACCCCGTTTCTGAAGAGCTTGAGCGTCGGGTAGCCGCTCACGCTAAAGCGGCCAGCGAGGTCGCCGTGGGCGTCGGCGTCAAGTTTGGCGAGTGGCACAGGTGTGTCGAGCTTCTTCGACTTGGCCGCCGCCTCGGCCCACTTGGGCGCTAGCTCTTTGCAGTGTCCGCACCTAAGGGGGGAGGGGGGTGGGCTTGGAGGAGGCGGGCTCGGGGGAGGGGGGGAACCCCTCCCCCCCGCTCTGCCTCACACCTCCACCTCCTCCTCTGCGCTCGGATCGCCGTCGGACGAGTCTGAAGCCGTCGATCCGACGGCGCACGCTCCTTAGCCTCCGGCGGGGCGGTTCCGGATCCCCCAGGTTATTCCGAGCGGGTCCATACGGTGGCGGCCCCGCCGGCGGCGGGGGTGGAGGCGGTGGCAGGGGCGGCGGGTACGGTGGCGGCCCTCGCGGCCGTAACGCCTGGTGTGGAGCCGCGGGGCGGCCCCACGACCCTGCAGCCGTTCCAGCGGCGGGGGCGGAAGTGGCAGTGTGGGTGGCGGAAACGGTGGCGGCACTGGCGGCCGCACCGCCTGGTGTGAACC